ATAGATTGAGCTCCCTGCACCTATCAGGTTTTCCAATCCTTTAATCATTCTCACGGCTCTTCTCTGACCCCTCTCCAATTTATCAACATCCTTCTTGAATTGTGGGCACCAGTGCTGGGCACAGAATCCCAGCAGCGGTCGCACTAGTGCCAAATACAGCGGTAAAATAACCTCTCTGCTCCCACTCAAGATTCCCTTGTTTATGCATCCAAGAATTGCATTCATCCTTCTGGCCACAGCGTCACACTGGAAGCCAATTATCCATGACCCCAAAATCTTTGTCAGAGTCACCGCTTCCTGAATAGAGGCCCCCATCCTGTAAGTATGGCCTGCAGTCTTTGTTCTGAGCTGTATGGATCTACTGAGGCCATGTCTACACAAACTTGCACCAGTTTTATGAAACCATTTTAGTTTCATTGGTGCCAAGCGCCTGTGTAGGGACACTCTCTTAGGCTAGGTCTACACTGGGGGGCGGGGGGAGGGGGTTTAACCTAAGATATGCAACAAATAGCATAGCTGAAGTTGGCGTATCTTAAGTCTATTTACCTGGCTGTGAGGACGGCGGCGAGTCGACCACTGCCGCTCCCCCGTCGACTCTGCTTCCGCTTCTCACCGCGGTGGAGTTCCAGAGTCGACGGCAGAGCGATCGGGGATTGATTTTTATCGTGTCTACACTAGACATGATAAATCGATCCCTGATAGATCGATCACTACGGATAATGTAGAAGGACCCTTAGTTTGGTTTGATTGGGCTAGTTCAGTTTAGCCTCCATTTGTTCTGGATTGATAAATAAGCCTGGTTTAAACCGGCGTAAGAATGTCCATACAGCTTTTCGCAGCGGTTTAACTAAATCGGCGTAAAATGGTGTAAAATGCACACCAAGCACCTGATTCTCCCCTGCCTTGCAACTTGTGCCGTCATTGACACCTGTGCAAAGTGAGAGCTAAGTGGGTGAAAATGCTGCCAGATCCAAAGGGCAGAGTTTTACAGGCACTTTGCACAGATGTGAGTGATGTCACAAGGGGCTAGACGGGACAATCAGACCTGCTCTGCTGCTCAACACCCAAAGCAAACAAACTGACCAGGCAGAGATCAACCATTCCAATCTCTGATCTGTTGGAACCATCGGAGAGAAAAGATTTTCAGACAGAAATGTGATTTATTATGTGGGTGAAAATTCCTCCCTTCTGAAACTGCTCAGCGTTCAGTTTCTTGGGAGGTGATAATTCCTCCAGTTCTCAGTTGTCCGAGTAGAAAAGAGGTGAGTTTGTAATGTAACAAAAAACCAGTATGGAACAGAACCCTCTTTTCAAAGAATACCCCATTCAGGCCGCCTTCTTTCATTATAAAGAAACAAAAGGTCACACAGCCACTCTTCCCACCCTTTGCATCGAGGGGAGTGTGTTGTTTTTGTTTTTAACATACGGCCCTGATAGGGTTTATTTTAATTATTTGTATTAGTTAAACATATCTGTTGCTACGTGTCCTGTTAGAGAAGGCAGGTCAATGAAACACACCTTGCGACTGAAGCAGAAAAATGGTCCTTGATTCCAGGAGGAGTTCGTTGCGCGGTCTCGGACCACGCCTGGAGAGGGTTCTGTCCCGGCCCAGATCAGCTTTACTCTGAGTTTAGCCAAGTAAACGCTGCGGAGTGGTGCAATTCTAGCAGCCCAGGCCGGTATTCGGGACCATTTCCCTTCAGCAGCAGAAACCCTGAGTGCGTCAGAAGGCAGAGAAGGGACTTGGGTCTGGCACTTTATGGCCCCAAATCTTGTCCTCCCCACCTCCGGGCCACACCGTGCCTGCTGGTAGAAGGCAGTGGAGCTGGGGACGGGGGGTTCTGCTGTGCAGCTCACAGAGACTCTGTCTCGGAGGCCAAGCCTGGCCTCTCTGCAGCACAAGGAGCCCATCTGCCCAGGCATGTTGGGTGCCTCTTGCAGGGTGGGAATCTAGCTCGTGGATCGGGATGGGAACGGGGCTCTTGCCAGTGTAGGTGGAGCAGCGGCTGGAGCCCAAAGCCCATTTACTCCAGTTTTGCACCAGGAAGGCAGCCAGGGAGGAGGGAGTGGAAACGTGAGGGCTAATAGTACAGCCAGGGCTCAGCTAGTGGGGCGATGGGCCTCAGGCGAGGTCGGTCAGAGATAGAAAGCAGCAGGCGGATTTGTCACCGGAACGTTCCGTAGGAGGCCAAATCTAGCCCTCCCTGGCATGGATGGTCAAGGCCCACAAGGCCTGAGGAGCTGCTGTTTCTGGTGCGGGGGCAGAACAACGCTGGGTGGGGAAGTTTTAGTGGAGGGACGTCACGTGGGATCGGACAGCTGCTGCCCCCAGATGTTCACCCACGTGAACAGCAGACGCACACGCCGTGGCTAGCGGCTCAGATCACCCGCCCTCTGAGGAGGAGGGGGAGCTCCCCTGTGGCACCAGCCCCTCCAAGCGGTTTAACCTGATGCGTTGAGCAGCGCCAAGGTGTAGACTCAGTGTAGACAAAACCCTGCTTTGAACCTGCCTTCTTCCCTCGGGGACAGGGTCTGGCAGCGCTGCCTGCACCTTGGCACCAGAGCACGAGGCGATGTCTGGCTGTGGAGGGGCCCACGTGCCAGCTGCCATCTCCGAGCAGCAGTTTCTCCTCCAACCCTCCACTAATCTCCCTAGATGCCCCTTGTCCCCCAAGATTCTCCTTCCCAGGCTCTATCCCCAAATCCCTCTTCCAGACTCAGACTCACAGCCTGACTTCCCCGCTGCCCCTGACCCCTCCGGTATCCTGGTCACCACAGGCTCCCCCGGCTGCCTCCCCTGACTCCAAAGTCTTCCTTGCTGTGGAAGGGGAGAGTCCATGGGAATCCGGTCACCCCTGCTGCTGTTTGGGGCACCCTGAGGTGGCTATTTCTGAAGCATCCCATGTGGAGCTGGATGAACTTGAGCAGCAAGTGGTTTTTGTTTTTTGAGGGGCGAGGGGAATGTGCAGGTCTGGGGGAGAAACGGGAGATTGTTTATTGTCCAAGCAAGTGGGTGAGATTTCTGGGGTCCTTGGCAAAGGGCCAAGGTGCAGCCCTTGGCATCCCAATTTTGGACACCCCTTGCGGTAAAGGGGGAAGTTAAGGCCCAGATGAGAACTCAGAGTGAAACTCTAATAGAGAGAGGAAAGGAGAGAGTGTGTGAGCGGGTGCACCACTGCTGTCGATTGGAAAGAATCAGAATGGCTCAGCTGTGTGTCATAAGCTCCATACTGCAAACAGCGAATGGGGAATCTCCTTTAGCCCAAGGGGCGGGAACCTGTGCTTGTGGAGCAGGCAGTTCTGAGTTTTATCCCTGCTTGCCCCGTGAAGCTCTGAGTGCAGACGATGTGCGGCAGAGTGGCAGCTGCGAAGTCCTGAACTGAGCATGGGTTTGTTAAAACCGTTACAGTCGCTCATTCTTCCGAAAAATTCCTTTCATTTGTGGCACTTCCCCGGCTGGAGTGAGCCAGTGGTGACCCCTTGGGTCCCCCCTCAACTTGCCTCAAGGGGAGAGCAGAAGGAGTGGGAAGCAATGAGATGCAGAAGCAGCATTTTGCTTTTTTCCTCAGGGAGAACCCCCTTACTCAGATATTCTGTAAGACGTGCCGGCCTCTCCTCTGATGGCTGCATGTTGGGTGAAGCGTCACACTCCATTAGTAACTGTCTGGGACTGTCAGCTCAGGAGTGGAGCTGAAAGTTTGAGAAAACGGGAGCATCGTGACCTGACACAGGTACAGCATTTAGCTGGGGGGCACGAGGGTTGTTTTATTAGTGAGGCTTCCTGTCCCGAAGTGGGAACAACTGGTGTAAATAACGTACGTACTTAGAATAACTTAGAAAAATCTGAACGACTGCCTCCCTATAATCCCTGGAAATACATACAAAGTGCTCGGTCTAGAGGACAGGAAAGGCTGGGTGGTGAGACTGCATTGTTGAAGCAGGTTGCACTCAACGGGAATAACTCTAGTAGGAGCCTCTCCCATTAGAGCGGGTCGAAGGCTGTTCTTGGGAAAATGGGGTTTTGTTAAAATTTTTCAAGAAAAGGTTGTGTGAAAAAAAATTTTTTTGTTTAAATTACAAAACAAAAAACAGAAAAAACGCCAGTTTTTCCTTTCAAAGCTGCGAGAAAATGCCCCCTTTTTGGCTACCCCTCCTTTTCCCACTACAAAATTAAGGGGGGGAAGTTAAAAAGTGAGAGAAAATAACACCTTCGCACCTCAAAACTTGTATTTTCTTTCCGCTTTTGGACATCCCGCCTCTTTAGGTGAGAGAAAATAACAAAATAACACTGACTTTTTTCCTCCAGGAGGGGGAGCAAAAACGGGGTGTTTTTTTTTTTCCTTACCTAAATGAACCAAAACACTTCAAACTGAAATTTCACAAACCCCCAAATTTGTGCAAAAATTCTGAACAAAAATAAAATATGCAATTAAAAATAATTGAAGTAAAAGACTGGGTCCAGTTAGCTCTATATGGTAATTAGGAAGCTAGATTTGACCTTTATGATGGTGCTGGTACTGCCCCACCATAACACCATGCACTCCCATGACCATTATTCATGAGCTCACCTTTTTGTTCAGAGGGAAGGATGAGTGCGTTTGGGACGCAGTCTCCTCGTCTAGGCCACGTTGTCCTGACGCTCGGCAGCGATCGCATGGATTCCGTTTCTGATCTCCATTTCTCCCCACTTCTCAGCCGTCTGGGATCACGAGCCTTTTAGAAGCAGGAAGCAGCATCTTGGATTTCTTCTAACCTGCCTAGAATCCAGTGAAAGGAAAGGGTGTGGGGAAGGTATGGAGCAGTGCTCAATTTGTAAAGAAAGAGGCGCGGGGCTCAAGCAGTTTTTTTACTTTCATAACTGATGCAGCAGGGCCAGAGGTGCCGGAGCTAGGAACTGCTAAGGAGCCCCGGCACAAATTAAGCACGGGCATGGAGACACAGTAGGGCATGGCCTACATGGCTGCAGCTCCACTGGTGACCGCACAAGTATAAACAATGCTCAAGAGGCTGTTGGATTTTCTAGCAGTCTCATCTGAACTTGCCCTGAATAGGGTTAGACAACCCAGGGTTAAAATGTCAGCGGTTGGTGCATACTAGTGCAATCCCTGATTGTGTTGCGGTGCTAGTGCAACCGTGGGAGATCTGAATAAAAATGTCAGTGTAGGTACAGCCTAGGACTTGTGGTCTACCCAAGGCAAACCAAATCAAGAGTATCCTTCCCAGCTCACTGCAAAAATCTCACGTGCGGGGGTTACTTGCAATTGGTCAGTTAAATCACATGGTACTGATTCAGTTTCCTGATTGTGTAAGTGCACAAGCAAGCACTTCCCGGTGCCGGTATTCGTATGTGCAAATTTAAAATTTTATTCCCGTGACGGATCATGCTAGTAATGTTTGGTCGCTCAAATGCTCCTGGAAAAATTCACCCAGCTCTACCAACAATGGGACAAATCTCGAAGTCCTTACTTGGGTTTGTACTTAGCCAACTTCCCCTTAAAGGCAATGAAGGTTTTGCCTCAATAAAGACTTCAGGGTTTTGCCCATTATTTGGCAAGAGTAACAGAAGCATCCTGCAGAATGGGTTGGATGGTGGGACAAAAAATCAGAGACGGGACATTGGAGTAGGTGGACAATTGGCCATAGGGTGACCAGATAGCAAATGTGAAAAATCAGGACAAGGGGTGTGTGTGTGTGTGTGGGGGGGGTAATAGGCGCCTATATAAGACAAAGCCCCAAATTTTGGGACTGTCCCTATAAAATTGGGACATCTGGTCACCCTCATTGGCCATTATGTCAATTCCTGCATTGGCTTAACTGGCACGGATTGATTCTTGAACTTCCTCTAAAAACACGTGGGGCGGTGTCATAGCTGAGACTGATGGAACCCCCTTTTACTGTAGGCCTGCCCCAAACTGCAAGCAAGCATGTCTTGTTTCAGCCTGTGGTGAGACGCTTCCACCCACTCCTCCTTGGAAATAGTTTCCGATATTTGCACTAAGAGTTGAATTTTGACACATGATCTCCATCTGTAAATGTCTTCAACTGTGCGTTGTGATTGTACGTACCGTTTAGACCTTGGGAGTATAGATAGTGTATATATAATTAGATATAAATATATTTATATAAACCTGTCATAGATGCATGGGCAAGTTTCCATTTCTGTGTTTCAGGAACGTTTTTCTGTGTGAGTAACCGAGGGCAGGAATACGTTGTCTGAGTTGCTAAAGGTCACATTTTGGTAAGGGGCTTTGTTGATATTTTCAAGTAAGTCAGCTCTGCCCTTTTCAAATAAATGTTAATGTTGCTCTGTGATGGTGCTTTGAGATTTTTCGTAACGGGAACGCGTCGTTGAGAGCCAAGAATGTTTACTACCCTCGACACTGATTTCATGGAGACGACAGGAAAAGCAGCGACGGTTTGTTTGTTTTTCCTTCTGTGGGTCTGGGCAGGAGGGCATGTTAAAGCGGGAGATGAGCATAAACTGGGCTTCTTGGCCCTAATTCGCCTCCCTTACTCTAGATTGACACCAGTGCACCTTCACCCAAGTCAACAGGCCAGATCCTTAGCTGGTGTAAATGGACATTGCTCTTTTGACTTGACTTACCTGGGTTGAAGTTCTAGTCCAGGAAAGCAAAGAGGTGGAAAAACAGGTCCCTTTATATCCCTCTCAGACGTCCTTAAGAATATAAGAACGGTCACACTGGGTCAGACCAATGGTCCATCTAGCCCAGTGTCCTGTCTTCTGGCCAGGGCCAGGTGCTTCAGAAGGAACGAACAGAACAGGGCAATCGACTGATCCATCCTGTCATCCAATCCCAGCTTCTGGCCGTTGGAGGTTTAGAGACATCGATGGCATGGGGTTGCTTCCCTGACCATCTTCGCTAATAGCCATTGACGGACCTATCCTCCATGAACTCATCTAATTCTTTTTTGAACCCAGTTATATTTCTGGCCTTCCCAACATCCCCTGCTAATGAGTTCCACAGGTTGACTGTACGTTATGTGATGAGATACTTCCTTTTGTGTGTGTCAAACCTGCTGCCTGTTAATTTCATCAGGTAAGCCCTGGTTCTTGTGTTATGTGAAGGAGTAAATAACACTTCCTTATTCACTTTCTCCACACCAGTCACAATTTTATAGCCCTCTGAGATAGACAGCTGTTTTGAGTGCCACGATCCATCTACGCTAACTGTGGCCTCACTTGGGTTTACCATCCTTTTGGATATGCTGAACTGAGATGCCCGGAAAAGGCCTTTGTTACTTTTTAGACAGAGGACCTTTCTGCTGTATGGAAGAGAATTCTAGCCCTGATATGAAACTCTATAGGATGGGCCAGAAAACAGAGAAAAATGATCTCTATTAAATTGTGTAGATTTTTAACTAGCAAGTAACTCTCTAGGTGGGAATGAACAGCTTGCTAACACTTCATGGAAGGACATTGGGAAGCCCATCTCCTGGTGTGACAGCGGTCGTCTTGGCTGATTCCAGGGCTTTACCCAGGGACCTCCAGATCTAACTGGATGAGTCTCTACAGCTCAAGCACAGGACCCAGGCTCTGTAACTGACGGGCGTGCTCTGCGGACTGGGCAGAGAGGGATGCGGAGCACACACAGACACATCTTCTGCACGGGAAGAAACCTCAGATCTGATTTTTATTTATTTCTGAGCTTTTTAAAAAGGCCTCCTGTTGATCTCAGGGCATGTTTACATTTTTTCCTAGAGCTCACTGAAAATACCCCCAGCTCTTCCAGACCACCCCTCTCCCTCCGACCCTTCTCAGGCACAGAGATTGGGTCTTGCACTGAGCCCAGGCAATCTGCATGCTTGATACATGGCAGAGTCCCAGGTTTCCCCTCTTCACACACTGAGAATGCCCTGCCGGCAGCCTCCTCCCATTTCAATCTAGGACCTCGGGTGACCTCAACGACTGTGGCAGATCAGGAATTAGGTGGCTCTGCTCACTTAAAAAAAAATCCTGCCCCAGATCTTTTCCCCCACCCGATCAGCTGCATTTGAGGAGGAGAATGGTGGTGGTGGAGCCCCACTTAGCCACACAAGCGCTGTTAGAAACCAC